TTTGGTACTTTTTTCCAGTTACTATATCTATAACATTTTCCCAATGGCCAGGAGGAAGCGAGCGATTCAGCCCCTTGTTGTTGAACAGTGTTGGCCAACAAAATAAGCAAGAGTCAATGGCGGTAGAAAGAAGAGAAGTGTGCCTGAGCCTGAGCAGACTGTAATCCTGGTGCAGTCAACATTCAGACTGAAGCAACTCATGTGGAGGTGCACACCGAAGAAACTGAAATTGCAGTCAACATTGAGACTGAAGAAACTGCTCTCGAGGTTGAAACTGAACCTGAGCGTGTTGAGGTTCAGACTGAAGAAACCCATGCTGACGTTCAGACTGAAGAAACCCATGTTGAGGTACACATCGAAGAAACTGAAACTTCTGTCAACATTGAGACTGAAGACACTGATCACGAGGGTGTTGGCGAGGTGTTGAAAAGACCAGCGAAGAAAACCAAGATGATCAGTGAACTTGTGTGTGTAGTAGAACCAAAAACAAGAAGTGCTAAGGCGAAGAAGGGAACACGACGTGGTAGGAAGAGGTAGAACAGAGAACAGTTTGAAAATTTGGGGCATGTAATAATATTTGTAACTTGGTGCGTACTGGTAGTCACTATTCTATTTGTACCTTGTCTAAAACAGTCAAATAAAATTCAAATTTAAATTCAAAATTGGGCTCAAATTTGAATTAGGGATGGGGTATTGATGTTTTAATGCTATCTAAAGTACCTCAACTGAAATATGTTTGCTTGCTGATCATTCCGAGCCCTTTTGGTAAGTTGAACTCATAGTCATGAAAAGTGTGTCTCAAATGACCTCCAAAGATAGGGTAAACGGCCTCATATTTAAGCAAGTTTTTTGGCACCTTCTCTAAACCAGCCAAATAATTTTTCTACACATCTATTCTACCTATATAGTGTAAATATAAAGTCTCACTATTTACTGAATTAAATTTCTATTACTTTCTTTTCTTTTTGAAAAAACAAGGTTTAATAGAAAATTATATATAAAACAAGTTTAAAACATGAAAATGAGAAAAGTAAGTTAAGATCTTTCTTAGTCAATCCAAAATGAAGTTTAAAACACTTTTCATTTTCAAAACCCCCACCTACTCTCGGGTGCGCACTACTCTCTCCCTTGAACTCCATACTACATTGTCTGAGGAATGGCAATTTTGTGAAGGGTTTTTTGTAAAAATGTATGTAAACCATATTTATATTATTTTTTCTTGTTACTATACGATATAATAAGACTATGTGCGCAAGTTTCATATTTTTTTGATTTTTTTTGAATTAGTTATGCTCAACCCTAATCAGTCAAAACCCCTCAAAACCCCTCTCAAAACCCCTCAAAACCCCGCACACTTCCGTGTCGTCGATCGTTGTGTGTGGACGGTTGAGATTAGGCGCTAGGGTTAGCTACAGTGTGCATCGATCCGCATGAGACGCGTTGATTGGTTGGATCGGTGGGGTTTGCATCAGCCTCTCTCGTTGGGGCATCAGGACCGTTCATTTGAATCCAACGGCAAGAGTTGACGCGGTGCATGGACCAAGCCTACGCAATGCACTTTCCATCGTTGCATGCGTGCCCGTGCCTGCCCTGCCTGCCCGCCCGCAGCATGCATGCCCACGCGCAGAACTACGCCCATGCATTGCATGCATGCCCGCCCTCGACGTAGCCCTGCTCCGCCGCCTCCAACGAGCAGTAAGTTGTCGCATGCCTACCATTACAACCGATGCAGCGTCGCATCAAAGCCAGCCCGATGAAGACAACCAAAAAGCCAACGCTGCATGGCATGCCGTGCATGGCATGCTCCTCTTTGATATGGGTATCGATGTGGTATCGATGTGGGTATCGATGTGGGTATCGATGCAGTTCAAACGGCGTGCTGCCCGTTACAAGATGGGCAAATGAAGGCGTCCGCGTCCATTATTGTCACGTCTCCATCGACCAAACGTTGCCCTCTAGCCAGGCCCTAGCAAGATGGGCTACGACATGAATGCACAGGCGGCACACGTAGAGAACCCGGGGAAGGTGTGTCCCCTTGACCCACGACGCCACAGACGCGTGCGTGATCCCGTCCCCCTTGACCCGTGACCGGTGGCACAGAACTGTCGCAGCCCGTTTCCCACGCTCGTGTACACACTTCCATGGGGCGCCACCAAATGCCGCCCTTCCATTGATTCTACCCAGTGAAACCACTCGAAGAAATCAAAAACCACGTCGCTCTTGGGCTATTTAAGCCGGGCACTATCGTCTTCCTCTCCCTCCTCATCCATACCCCATCCTCTTCCCCCTCTGCCCTCCTTCTTCCTTCTTCTCCATCAAACCCGATCGAGCCCTCGAGCCACCATGCAGTACAACGCCCCCACCTACCAACTCCCCCCAACCATGCCGGAAAGGCTCTACCCGAACGGAGTGTACGTGGAGAGTACCCTTAGGGTTTGGGCCATCTCAAGGTGGAGGGGCGCACGGGAGTTGACGGAGTTCTTCCTTGCGGCCGGCTTCCTCCACCTCCCCCGCGGCTCTCCGAGGATGTACCATGTTGAGGAGGTCACCCACAACGGCGTTGTGGTTGGGATCCTCACTACGTTCACTAACCCATTTGACGCTTTGTACCTCCTCGGGTGAGTGTATTGGGTTGGTTGTGAGTTCATAGCTTTCACCACCCATAACATTTTCACCGACTTCAACTCCATCTTCCCCAACAACAGCGTTATGCACACGCTCCCGTACCCAATCAACAACGACGAGTGAAGGGCGCCCGGAGGAGCGAGGTGGCCCGGCGTTCACCGGAGGAGGAGGAGAGAAGAACCTGAAGAAGAACCCGCGTTTGGTGCCCCCTAATCTATCGTATTGTATCGTATTAGTTTTTAAGTTGTAATCATTATGCTACTATTATTAAGTTGTATTAGTATTTTAAGTTGTAAGGCTATCGTGAAGTTGTAAGGCTATCGTGGAACTATGGGTTGCAATCATTATGCTTCTATATAATCATTATGCTACTATATATATTGTGTGTTTCATGCTATTATTTGTAGATTGCTATGGGTTGTTCCATTATTTGTGTATTGCTATGGGTTGCTACGGGCCCGGGTTGCTACACTCCAATCACCACACACACGATCTTCAACATATTGGCCAAATAATGGGTCATGACCCAAACCATAGACATGCAACTAGGAGCCCCACGCAAACCCACTATGGACATGCAACTAGGAAATGCAAACTAATTTACTTCATGCAAGCATGCAACCCATTTAGTCCATGGAATCGTAGACATGCATAAAAACAAGTAACATTTAGTTTCAGTGCATCAAAAAATGATCCATCACAAAATTTAGTGCAAGAAAAAGGCCAAAGTAAAAACAAGTAATATTTTATTTGCCGAAGTTAGAGGTGGGCTGGTGCCCCTACGCGGGTGGGCTGGTGCCCCTACGCGGGTGTGCTGGTCTCTATTTTGGGCATGGTTATTTTCTCAGGGCCCATTTTCTCATGGCCCAGCATCTATTCGGCGGCCCAGTATTGTTTTTTACTAGAAGCTGAATTTGGGTGTGTACTCTGTTAACTGAAGAACAAAAACAGAGGAAACAGAACATGAACACTGAATAGGGCCCCTGAATATGATTACAATAATTCAAGCAACTTTTGCATCACACAAATTCAAATTCATCTAACAAATGATCCCTGGTTAATTCAAACTACTGGGCACCCGTGAAACTAGCTGACTAACTAACTGAAACTCTAACAAATTCTAGCGGTTGATGAACATCAAGTAAACTAAACCCATAGCAATGACACAACCATAAAATGCTCCAGCCATCATATTTGCTTGCTGCTTCAAATCGATTAGATGCTTTAGTTGCTTGCCGATTTTCTTCAATTCACACTTCAGTTCTGCACTGTGCGTCATCAGATCGGCTCTATCCGCCAAATTGGGGGCTTGTTCCACGGCAAGCCGCCCCGCAAAATTGAGCTCTTGGGTTGGGGTTGATCCCTCCAATTTCAACCTTTCAACATAGTCATCGAGCCACTCAAAATGCCCACATTTCTTCAGAACCTGAAAAACAGGGGGGCGGTGGCGCATGAATCCTAGATCCACCACCCAGATCCACTGCCCTAATTCGAGGAAAAAAGAAAGAAATTGGGAGAAATTAGACCATAGGATTGGTCAAGAACATAGATCTAACCTGCCCCGGCTGTGGCTTGCTCAAACATTTTACAAACTCGTGCCCACGTTGCCATTTTCTTCCCTCACACAAGTTAAACGCTTGAGAGGCTCCATGCGCGGGCAATCGGGGCATCTTGTCAACGGCAGTGGACCATACTGCGTCCATGATTGGCGGGTGGCCGAAGTCGAGCTAGACATCACTCGCCGGCGGCGTGCTTCGTTGCCGGAGCAGAGGAAGAAGAAGGTGGGAAAGGAAAGGGGCAGGGCAAGCAATGGAGGGGCAAGCTGGCTCGGGCTCGTGGCTGGCTCGGGTCGGGGCACGCTGATGAGCATGGGCATGCTTGTGTGGATAAGTTGTGGGTCCCACCCGCATGCGAGTAACTGGTGGGTCCCGCGTGTCATAACTCAAATCGCTAATCCCTCGTGTTTTTCATTTCACGCTTAAACAGAGCCATGTCGCATTGGAGCTATTGTTGGCTTCGAAGACATCGCATCGCAGCCATTCGCTCGAACAACGTCGCACTCCTTCCAATTCGCATGAAAAACGTCGCACAGGAGCTATTGGCCCTCCTTTCCCAGACGTTGGGCTTCCCCCCAGTGTCAAGAGCGGGATTGGCCTGATATCCAAGGACTACAACGACAGGTTCCTTCGGACGGTGGAGCTGCTCCAGGAGCCCTTCCGCCGCTTCCTGTCCAACCACCACGCCGAGATCGACGCCGTCGTCTCCGACGGCCTCTTCCACTGGTCCGTGGATGACGCCGCAGAGCATGGAATCCTGCGCATCACGTTCCTCGGCACCAGCATGTTCGCCCGTTCCTGCACCGAAGCCATGCTCCGTCCGCAGCAACCCGTTCGAGGCGTGCCCCGACGACCCAGCCACCATCGTCTCTCTGCCGGGGCTGCCGCACCGGGTGGTGGAGCTGCGGGGGCAGATGATGGACCCTGTGAAGCGGCCACATGAGTGGGCATGGTTCCAGCTCATCCACGCCACGGATCGGTGGAGCTACGGCGAGCTCTTCAACAGCTTCCACGAGCTGGAGCCGGCCTACGCCGAGCACTACCGCGCCACACTCCACCGCCGAGCCTGGCTTGTCGGCCCGGTTGCGCTCGCAAGCGGCAGCGAGAAGGACGTGACGTCAAGAGGCGCAGTTGCTGGCGCGCTCTCACCGGAGTCCATCGGGTGCGTGTGGTGGCTCGACGAGAAGCCGGCCAGCTCAGTGCTGTACGTCTCCTTCGGCACAATGACAATCTTCTCGCCCGAGCAGATGCGGGAGCTCGCCCGCGGCCTTGACCTCTCGGGCAAAAACTTCGTGTGGGTCATCGCCAATGGAAGTGCATCAACGGATCTGTGTATGCCAGTCGGGTTCCCGATGGCACACTGCGGGTACATCGTCCGGGGCTGGGCGCCGCAGGTGCTCATCTTGAACCACCCCGCCGTTGGTGGTTACATGACGCACTGCGGGTGGAACTCCACGCTGAAGGCTGTGAGCGCCGGCGTGCCGATGGTGACGTGGCCGCGGTACGCCGACCAGTTTCACAATGAGAAGCTCGTCGTGGAGGTGCTTGAGGTGGGCTTCGGCGTCGGTGCCGAGGACTACGCAACATGGATGGAGACCCACCGACTTATCGGCAGCGAGGTGATCGCCGAATCCATCAGGAAAGTGATGAAGGAGGAGGGCGACGGCGACACGATACGAAAGAAAGCTGAGGAGCTCCGCGACAAGGCGAGGGCCGCGGTGGAGAAGGGTGGGTCGTCCTACGACGATGTTGGGCAGCTCATGGAGGAATTGATCGCCCGCCGGTGCTGTAGACGTACGGCGGGTGAATAATGGTGGTCTGGTCTCCGCGTGCTTCCCGTTTTGCACTGTACCGACTCTAATGTACCTTCGCCCACCACATATACGGTCTATCTACCTGCAACGTCGGAGTAGCAGCTGATCGGGCAGTCTACAACCCAACACTCATGAGCCAGCAACAGCTCTCGTATCAGGCGTGGTAAATCTGAGTGGACTAGGACTTAACCAAGTCTGAGTCGATGCTATATTCGTAAGATCTTACGTGAAGATCTGTGTAATTTTCCTTTTTCTGCTTATATGCTATATTGTCTTACTGAGATTTGATCTCAGTCGTCTAAGATCTAGCCACACCCTCTTCGTATTTCGCTAGTCAGGCATGCAAATGTGTCAGCAACAGGTTACGCCACTAACTCTCAATGTGGGTCCCGTTTATCAGTGGGTGAAGGGAAGGAGATAAGAAAAATTAAAATGATGGGCCAGCCGCGACGTATCTCCGTTGAGCTCACGGCCTTCATCTCATTTGCTATAGACGCTTTCGGTTATCTGCACCATTTTTTTGCCATTTTGCATGTGTATCTCAGTTGAGCCTGCCTGAACCGGACGCGGTGTTTCAGCACCTAGCTCTAGATGCTCTCATTCATGAACAATAAAATAATTTAAAATAGTAATAAAAATTAAAAACTTCTGAATTTGCTTTGTTGTGCGTGCGTGTGATGGCTGTGCCAAATTTGATGGAGTCTGGACATTCAAGAAGGTCATGACTAAAAAGATAAACTTCGGATAGTTTTAAAAAGGCACTTCATAGCTGATTTTATCTTTTTTGCACGAGCTCCTTGGACTATTCTTTTATTTTACTGTTCATCTGGTGTAGATGAGCTTAGGCACCATTTTGAATGTCCAGCAAAAAACCATCATGCACACATAGTTTGGTTACCTGCATTTAGGCTCTCTGCATGAGGGGATCAATATTGACCCAATGTTTGGTTGCGTACGTTGCATTGGACGGGAAAATTACATGTTGTGTCTTTGCACCAACGTAGGTTGTGATCACCACTTCTCACTGGTGGTGAGCTTACCACACATGATTTAAACATCATTACCTAAGAAATGAATGGCAGTTTATCCTAACTACTTACAAACTGCAGTACAAATTTAAGAGCCATATGGCTAAATAGGAGAAAGCTAATCGATGCTAACTAGGTGGAAATTCATCCCCATCCTCTTCAACTTCCTGCTGCTGCATTGTCAAATGCCTTCATACCATGGCCAGAGCTAACAACATTATCAAACGTCACCTCTTTCTCCTCTGGCACAAGGTCATCACAACCCATTGTAGGATCTAGTTGTGAAGGATGCAATATACAAGAACAAACTTAACCTGATGCGGTAAGGGTGATATGTTATCTGATCCAGGATCTTAAATCTTTTCTTTGGAGCTTCAAGTGTCATCTCAACTGCAAGTCTAATGCTAGAGTGTCTTAGATTGAACAATTCATGTGCAGTCCTAGGATAGTTTCTATCAGAGAACTCGTTCAGATGTTCCATGGTTTTCCCGATGGGTGAAAGAACACCTGTCTGGCATGCATAACCAGGATCTTCGAGGTAGAACTTGCCATCGAGGATATTGATGCCATCAGGTCAAGACATGCTGTCAGTTAGAATGTTCTATCATGGGATGATCCTTCCCAGCTAGTTAATACATAAGTTAACTTCAGATCAAAGTCCACCACAACAAGAACATTTTGACTTGTGTAGTGCTCTCTAGCCCTGTCTGCTGCTGACTATCACCTGCAATTTAGCAGTCACATGAGTTTCATATATTGCACCAATGCAATGCTAAAAATGGCATGGCAAGATGGTGTTATGGATGCACCAAAACATAGTATATGAAGGCATGAACTATGAGTAGTGCTCACCTTGAAATCGGATACCATCTTGGGCTAGTGCGAATCTTGCTAGGAGTTTGTTGGGCTTGTGATTTGACCATCTCTCCTCTGAACTCCCCAACAACATACAACACTTCATGAAATACCTCGAAATAGTCTCCATTGATCTTCTGGACGTGTTGTGGATATCCTTGAACCTCTGACTATGACCTACAACATGGAGGAACATAAGAACTTGCTTTTCCACACTAGTGTGGATGCTATCTTCTAGAAACCCCTGCTCCTGAATGTCTGCACAAGCATGGGGAAAGGTGTTGCTTTCATTCATAGCGTCCATACAACTTCGGTGTCGCTGTAGTTCAGATTTGCTATCCTTTCCTGAAATCAAATTCACATTGGACCATAATGGCTCACATGCTTGTCACTCCAACTTAGCTCTCTTATTGACCAACAGGTTCCAGGCCTTGATCATAGCGACCAGTGTTGCTACCTGAACTAAGAGCTTCATCCGTTCGTCCACAACCTAGCTGACATCGATTGTGCGGTCAACAATGGCGCAATCGATACTATGTAGTCCTAACAAACGACCTAACAAAGGATGGGTGTTTGTGTGCTACTTACCAGCTTTGGAGATGATGAAGAGGGGTGGGGCCCATGTCTTAGATGAGAATGGCCAGACGGAGTCCAAGAAGAAGGGGGGAGAAGCTCCTACTAACGGAGAGTGATGTTGCCACCACCGCTGCTGGTTGCGCAGATATGAGTTGCCATATGCATGAGTTGGGCAATGACGTCATCGGGGACGGGTACCAAATCCTTGGAGACGTGGACAGTGGTGCCAAAGGTGGGATAGAGGCTAACTGCGTGCACAGTTAAGATGGCTCCAGTGGTGTCATGGAACTCGTTGACGATGTCTGTGGTGGTGACATGCATGGTGCGAACATTCCGTCGAGCCTTCGCTATGCAGGTAGGGGTTGCGTCGTGGATGACCTGAAGTACCTCCTTGTCCCTTGTGGTGGAGCTGGAGACATTGGGGACGGGCGTTGACGCCTCGTTAGTGGCTCACAAAGCGAGGCAATCAACTATGGTGGATTGTCGACGAAGGCGGGCGTCTTCGTGACCCTAGAGCGTCCAGTTTTGTGTTGAGGGACTCGATGGGGCAGGAATTAGCATCGAGCATGGAGTTGAGCCGCTCGAGATACTCATTGATCAAGGATTTGAGGATCTGAGGGAGGATGGATCCATGGCACTTCAACTATTCCCTTGGACGGTGGTGGTGAAAAAAATTGGGGAAGGGTGCAGGGTAGTGTGTGGCTCTAAATATGAGATGTTAAGTACCTGCTTCACTAATAACGCTAGGTACTGAGTAGATTACATCAACTGGGTTACTAATGATAGGGAACGTAGTAATTTCAAAAAATTTCCTACGCACACGCAAGATCATGGTGATGGCATAGCAACGAGAGGGGAGAGTATTGTCCACGTACCCTCGTAGACCGTAAGCGGAAGCGTTATGACAACGCGGTTGATGTAGTCGTAAGTCTTCACGATCCGACCGATCCAAGCACCGAACGTACGGCACCTCCGTGTTCAGCACACGTTCAGCTTGATGACGTTCCCCGGGCTCCGATCCAGCAAAGTGTCGGGGATGAGTTCCTCAGCACGACGGCGTGGTGACGATGATGATGTTCTACCGGTGCAGTGCTTCGCCTAAACTCCGCGACGATATGACCGAGGTGGAATATGGTGGAGGGGGCACCACACACGGCTAAGGAACGATCCGTAGATCAACTTGTGTGTCCTAGGGTGCCCCCCCGCCCCTGTATATAAAGGAGCAAGGGGGGAGGCCGGCCGGCCCTAGAGGGCGCGCCAAGGAGGAGGGGTCCTCCTCCTAGTAGGAGTAGGACTCCCTCTTTCCTACTCCTACTAGGAGGGGGAAAGGAAGGGAGAGAGGGAGAGGGAAAGAGGGCCCCCTCCTAGTCCAATTCGGACCAGAGGGGGAGGGGGCACGTGGCCCATGCTAGCTGCCCCTCTCTGTCTCCACTAAGGCCCATAGGGCCCATTACTTCTCCCGGGGGGGTTCCGGTAACCCTCCGGCACTCCGGTTTTCTCCGAAAACGTCCGGAACACTTCCGGTGTCCGAATATAGTCGTCCAATATATCAGTCTTTATGTCTCGACCATTTCGAGACTCCTCGTCATGTCCGTGATCACATCCGGGACTCCGAACAAACTTCGGTACATCAAAACTTATAAACTCATAATAAAACTGTCATCGTAACGTTAAGCGTGCGGACCCTATGGGTTCGAGAACTATGTAGACATGACCTAGAACTATTCTCGGTCAATAACCAATAGCGGAACCTGGATGCCCATATTGGTTCCTACATATTCTACGAAGATCTTTATCGGTCAAACCGCATAACAACATACGTTGTTCCTTTTGTCATCGGTATGTTACTTGCCCAAGATTCGATCGTCGGTATCCAATACCTAGTTCAATCTCGTTACCGGCAAGTCTCTTTACTCGTTATGCAATGCATCATTCCATAACTAACTCATTAGCTACATTGCTTGCAAGGCTTATAGTGATGTGCATTACCGAGAGGGCCCAGAGATACCTCTTCGACAATCGGAGTGACAAAACCTAATCTCGAAATACGCCAACCCAACATGTACCTTTGGAGACACCTATAGTACTCCTTTATAATCACTCAGTTACGTTGTGACGTTTGGTAGCACCCAAAGTGTTCCTCCGGTAAATGGGAGTTGCATAATCTCATAGTTACAGGAACATGTATAAGTCATGAAGAAAGCAATAGCAATATACTAAACGATCAAGTGCTAGGATAACAGAATGGGTCATGTCAATCACATCATTCTCCTAATGATGTGATCCCATTAATCAAATGACAACACATTCTATGGTTAGGAAACATAACCATCTTTGATTAATAAGCTAGTCAAGTAGAGGCATACTAGTGAAGTTGTGTTTGTCTATGTATTCACACATGTATTATCTTTCCGGTTAATACAATTATAGCATGAATAATAAACATTTATCATGATATGAGGAAATAAATAATAACTTTATTATTGCCTCTAGGGCATATTTCCTTCAGTCTACCACTTGCACTAGAGTCAATAATCT